CTGGGAGTGCTGCGAGTGCGGCCCAAACTGGGGAATCTGCCGCTGTGCACCGTGCGGGGGACGCTGACACTGCTCCGTCTGGTGCGTGTGTGTGGCCTGACGGTGAGTGGCTGCGTGTTGTGTATGGCTGGACGGGTGTGCTGTGGGGTGAGCGTGCGATAGAGGGCTCTCTGCTGCTGAGTGTGTGGTGCTGTAAGAGACGGAGGGAGCAACATAGCGTATGTACATGGTGGTGTGGCGTGCGCAACCTGCTGTCTTGTGCTGTGTGCGTTGGTGTTGGGGCTGCCGTGGTGTAGGAAAGGGCAGGGTTAGGGTTAGGGTTAGGGTTAGGGAAGCGGTTCTGATTGAGTTTCGTACTCTGAAGAAAGAGCGTGTCACTTATTTAGTTTGCTGATATTTTGGTTGTGGTTGGCGTGATATTTGGTCTCTTTTCTTGATTCGTTGTTTTGGTTAATGCTTTTGTGCCGCGAAATGCGCAGATGAAGTTTTATGTGTAGAGCCCAAGTCCATGTCGCACGTTTGTACAACACTGGTTGTTTCAGGATGCACTTTCGCGATGTTTTCAAATTGTAACGCGCGAAACAACACCTCTGCCATCCTGTCGGGAATGCACCGACACGTGCTCGAGATAACTTGTGACTGCTCTTCTTACTTCTTCTCTTGCTTATCTTTTAACCCTCACGATCACTTCTCGTATGTATCGTGATTGCTGAAGCATTCGCCCTTCCCGCCAAAAGCATTCCGCAGCCGTCAAAGTTTTAAAAGCCCACCCACCCAACCCTTCGTTGCAACTCTCTTTTTGTTTTCATTCCTTTTCATTTACGAGTATTTCTGTTCTTCGCCTTTATTTTTCCTGTACTTTCTGCAGCCTCTGGCGCAGGGTTTTTCCTTTACTTGACATTGTTTTCGCCGTCTTTTCTATTCTATCTTTGCGTTTTCTATCTTCGTTTTCGTTAACCGTATCTGTCTTCAGCAAGCTATTTTACAACCTGTTTTTCGCTGTACCGCGAGCATCTCCAGTGCGTCTTGGGGTCCCGCACCCCTGCCATGGCGAGCATGCCGCTCCTCTATTTCTGTTCATTCATACACACAAAGACGCTATTTTCACTATTGTTAATGATTACGTTCTATTGTTTGTTTTCTATCCAGCGGTGAGGTTTCTTGTTTTTACCGTCTGT